AAAAAAAAAAAAAAAAAAACAAGAAATAAAATAAGTAAAGTTGACCTATTAACCCTCCAACTCATTCATTCTGTGAGACCAATATTATTATTACAATAGCATCAGACAAAAGTGTCACAAAGACAGCCCAATATCCCTTATTAACACAGATGTCAAAATCCTCAGCTATCACTAATAAACTGAACTCAGCAGCATATAAAAGGGATTACACATGATGACTGAGTGAGATTTATCTCAGGAAAGTAAGATTGGTTTTATACCCCAAAATCAACTACTGTACTATACTACTATTACTACTATACTACACAAGTGAATAAAAGAAAAATATATACAGTACAAGATCATAAGAGAGAAAAAAATTTTGTTAAAGAAAAAAGTAGGAAAATTCAGTGCTTTTTCATAATGAAAACAATCAGCAAAAGAGAACAGAAAAAAGCTGCTTCAATCTGTTAGTTTCTATAAAAATCTCATTGCTAATATCATTCTCAAAGGCAAAAAACTGAAGGCTTTTTTTAAGATTAGGCAAAAGTCAAAGTTCTACTATCAATACTTTGATCCAATATCAGAAAGGGCAGCTAAAACTAGCTGGAAAGAGGGGACTCCTCGCCACTTCTAACCTTACTCTATCACCTTTCATCCATTCAAGTCTAAATGGATGCAAGACATAAAAGTATCCCATAGTATTCCTGTAGATGGTATGATTTTGTACACAGAGAATCCTAAGGAACTCAGAAAAAAAAACTACTAGAGCTAATAAATGAGCTCAAGGGTCAGGATACAAGATCAACAAACAAAAGCCAATTGTATAAAGAAGATTTAAACAAATAGGTAGTCATAACATGTTCCTGGATTAGAAAACTTAATTACAAGAAAGTAATTGTTCCCAAATTTATCTATACAGATTCAATACGATCTCATCAAAATTACAGATTTGTTTATAGAAACTGAAAAGCTTCTATAAACAAATGTTTATTCATGTAAAAAAGGCAATTTGTGTGTAAAATAAAAGACCCAGAATAGCTAAAACCATCTGGAAAAGGAACAACTAAGTTGGAAAACTCACTATTTCTACGTCAAAAGTTATACAAAGCTACAAGAACAGGACAGTGTGGTATTACAGGACAGACAAATAGATGTCAGTGGGATAGACCTGACAGCACAGAGATTAACTGTACACTTCTGACAAGGTGTCCCGATGACTCAGTGCAGAAGGAAGAGCCTTCCGACAAGTGGTGCCAAGACAACCCGCCACCTACAAGCAAAAGGGTATGGCCGGATGCCCTGCATGGCCGACCACACACGCGCATGAACTCAAAATGGGTCAAGGACCTATATGAATGAGCTAAGAGTACATAATTAGAAAAAGGAACACAGCTGTCAATCTTTCCATTTTAAATTAAGTAACAGTTTGTAGACATAATAACAAAAGCACAAGTAACAAAATAAATAATAGATAAATTATTATTATTTTTTTTTGGCAGAACTGGGGATTGAACTCAGGCCAGGGAAATGCTTATTCCACTGAACCATCTCCCCGGACCCATAATAGATAAGTTAGACTTCATTAAAACCTCTAAACATCATCTCCAGGAGAAGAAAAAGATAATTTCTAGAATGGGCTTTCTTTTTTTGCCAATTCATGTACCTAATAAAGGACTTGTATTAGGAATTCATAAAAATTGTAACTGAATAATAAAAAAAATTAAAAATAGAAAAAGAGTTGGGCATTGATAGATATCTCTCCAATATAAAAATTTACTAGACATCATGAGTTGCCAGAGAAATACAAATCAAAATTAAAGTGAGCTGCATAGGTGGCACAAGGCTGTAATATCAGCATTTTGGGAGGCTGAGGCCAGAGGATCTCAAACTAAATTAACAAGGCAGACAGCAAGTGTTGACAAAGACATAAAGACACTGTAACACAGAGCTGCTACTGGGATATAAAGTGGTGCAGCCATTCTGGAAAAGTTTGGCAGTTTCTTAATAGAGATACCATGTGACTCAGCAATTCCATTCCTAAGCGATATCCCCAGGGAAAATCAAGGCATATGTCCACACAGAATCTGTACATATGCAAATATTTACAGTAGTATTATTAACATCCACACAGAAGAATTCATTCAAATACTCATCTGGTGAATGGGTAAATAAAATGTGTGCTACAGTTTGTATCCAGTTGTCCCCCAAGGCCCCACGCAGTCACTGGGGTGGGCTTGTAGAGTCTGCGGGGAATCCATGAGCCAATGCTGGAACTCTATGTAGTGCTGCTGGCATTGAGTGTGAGTGCCCCACCCACAGACAGCCTGGGTGTAGTATAAGCAAGGGGGAGGCTTCCTCTCTGCCTCTGCTGCTCCTCCCTTTTTGCTCTTGCTGTTTTTAGCTCCATAAACTGCTGCCCTCTGCCATGTGCCACCCTGCCATGAAGCCAGCTGATTGTGGACTGAAACCTCCACAAACTGTGAGCCAAATAAACTTTTTTCTGCTTAATTTTGGGTGCAAGGTATTTTGTCCCACCAATGAGAGAAATGTAACCAAGACAAAATACGGTACCAAAGAAGTGGGATTGTTGGTGTGACTACCTGACTATGTGGTCCAAGAGCCTTTGGGGACGGCTTACAGGAAGAGATAGAAAGCGTTTGGGGATATCACCTGAAAGAGAAGTGCTGGTACCTATTTGGCTGTTCTATATGGGAGATTCTGCTCAGAGCTCAGAAGACCAGAATGCTGATAGAAATCCTGCCTGTAAAGACCAAGCTGGGGAGGTTTCTCCTGGGAAGAACAGCTGCATTGGCTACTGGACTCCAGATGAGCATTATGGCTTGGCAGAAAGTTTGCACTTTGCTGAAGTCCAGAGACTTTGCCTGAGAGTTAGATTAAGGGCAGCAGACTGAATAATCTGGCAGAAGAAATTTCAAGGCAGTCAAATGTTGAGGCAATGGCATAGCTATTGTTGGGGGCTTTTAGTCCGATTTATGTTGCAAATTAAGGGCAAAGAGCCCACCAGGATGATTTAAATGTGAATCTGGCCAGAAAGGAAGCTCCAATAAAGCTGTGGACTGCAAAGATAGAGCTGAGAAGATCTTCACTGCCGAGAAGGTACAGAAGAATAGAAAAGATGGCCAGAAGGCATCACCAGAAGCAGTAAATCTCAACCCTTTGCAGCCTCACAACTGCAAAAGTGAAAGTCTTTGCTTTGAGGAGAAAGTCACAGAGTGACATGTTCTAGAATTATAGCAGCAGCCACACCAGGTTCTAGACTGGTGGCAGCATAGAGAATTTGTTCCTTGGAATCAGGATCAGAGTGTTGAGCAATCCAACCATTCAACCCCTACAGCCAAGAGAGAAGAAATCCTGGTTACTGCTCCAGCTGGCAGCAGACCTTAGCATCATCCATTTGGTGCTGATTTTGGACGCATGCAGAACGCAAGAGCTCTGAGGTTCAGAAGGCTTCCACCTAGATTCCAGAAGGCCTGGGAAGCCAGGGACTATGCCTCAGGGAGGGAAATATGTGCAGCTGGGAGAAGCCTAAAGTGCAGTAGAGATCCCGTAAGTTTGTAAAAGCCAGAAGTTTCGATCATCTAAGGAAAGTTACAAGGAGGGAGCAAAGCAGGCCTAAGGGAGAAGCCATGAGAGCCACGTTAAGGCTTTCAAAGTTTACAATTTACCACAGGTTGCCTTGGATGTTGTATGTGGAACTATAGGACTTAACATTTGCCCTGCTGGATTTTGGACTTGCTTTGGTCCCAGTGCTTTGTATCCTGTTGTGTATACCTTTTGGTGGTGTTTTTCTTGTGCCACTGAATGTTGGAAGTGTTTAACTTTTCATTTGTACAGGGTTTCACTTGTACAGGCAAGCTAAGAGTTTGCCTTAGATCCTGAAGGAGACTTAGAACCTGGACTTTTCAGCAGTGCTGGAACTATTAGGACTTTGTCAACTCTTACAGATGGACTAAAATACCTTTTGTATAAAGGGATCTACATAAGCTTGGGGGAGCCAGGGGTAGAATGTTATGGTTTGTGTCTAGCTGTCCCCCCAAAGTCTCATGCAGTCACTGCGGTGGGCTTCTTGAGTTGATGATTAATTCATGATCCAAGGCTGGGATTATCAGTGAGTTGATGATTAATTCATGATCCAAGGCTGGGATTATCAGTGAGTGCTATCCCACACGCAGCCTTAATGTAACATAAGGAAGGGAGGCTTGCCCTCTTCCTTTGCCACTGCTCTTCTCTTTCCGCTCTTGTTGTTTTGCTGCTTTCTGCTGCCATGAATTGCTGCCCTCTGCCATGTGCCACTCTGCCTTGGAGCCAGCTGATTATGGACTAAAACTTCCACAAACTGTAAGCTAAATATACCTTTCCTTCCATAATTTTGGGTGTCGGGTATTTTGTCCCAGTAGAGAGAGAAAAGTAACCAAGACAATGTGGTATACCCACACACGAAACATCATTTGTCAATAAAAAGAAAGTACATACTAATAAATACTATAATACAGACAAATCTATGTAAAAGAAGCTAGAAAAGAGCCCAGATTGTATGATACTATTTCCATAACATGTTCAAAACACATAAATCCACAACAATTCAAAGTAAGCTGGCGTTTGCCTAGAGCTAGGCAGGCTGACGGGAAATGAGGAACCACCGTTCACAGGTCCAGGGTTGCGATGTAGGGTGAGGAAAAGCACTAACTAAGTTGGAGAGCACTCATAACTGCACACCTGTGAACGTTCTAAAAGCCACTGACAGGGCTAGGGATTTGGCTCAGCAGTACAGTGCTTGCCTTGAGAGCTGGAAGCCCTGAGTTCGGTCCTTGGCACCAAAAACAAAAAATAAACCTCCCCTAAAAAAAATTCAACCAAAAAAATACAGTAAAATCAAAGAAAACCAGAAACAAACAAGGCAACTAAAAGTCAATAAACTGCACACTTAGATGGAGACATTCTACAGTGTGCGAGTTAACTGTCAACAAATGTTTTCAGAAAATCTACTTTACCTTGAAGGAGTTGGGTCATCCTGGCCAAGGCGTGACATAATATTTATTAGGGTGTTAATTCCTATTTTTTAAGAAAACAAAAATATATATGTCAATACTGTTAGAAGGATTCCTGGCTTATCATAGCACATGTAGTAAGAAAATTTTCTCACCCCATTTTGACATTAAATGGTTTAATATCTGCATGTTTTAAAGTCTTACAATTACCTAAAGCACTAGACACATTTTTCCTATAAATTTCATCCACTTTATTATAATGCTTTGCCCAAAGTGAATGTCATTACACATGGGTCAGGAAGCAGGAGAGTAAGAGGATTAAAAGGTCACCCAGAAAACCATTCTCAGAGGAGGACACAATTTAAATACAGGAAAGCAGGCTAAAATATCAGCACACAATCTTATAGTCAAGCAAACAAACCTTTTTTCCGCATGTGCATGTGATGAACTTTTCTGTCTCCATATTTGGGCTGCCGAATTCCACAGTTAGATAGAGAATTCCTGGCATGATCAGGATTCATTCCAAAATTTAAATGATGACTAGGATGAGTCATGGCCAGCTAAAATTTCAATGAAATAAGTTCAATCTTAAAAATTCAGCACATAAGCATCATTTTAAAGTCAGCTCAAATGAAACTATAAAGAGCTGTCTAGCCAGCTGAATTTTAAACCCTAATCTTTCCATCTTATCTCTTCTAGAATCAAATTTCCAGAAATCTAGTAAAAGCCCTCTTCTAAAAACAGATCCAAGTACCAATAACTTTGAGCAAAGAACTACAATTCTCATTGCCTGGCAAGAACCTTAAGGAAGGAAATCCTTCCCCGCCCCTTACCCCTGTTGCTTAGGATTCACAGTAAGATTTTCAATTTCATCTATCTCTCTGTCTCTCTCTCTGTCCTGTCTGTCTGTCTGTCTGTCTCTCTCTCTCTGTCTCTGTCAGTCTGTCTGTCTGTCTCTCTCTCTCTCTCTCTCTCTCTGTCTCTGTCAGTCTGTGTCTGTCTGTCTGTCTCTCTCTCTCTGTCTCTGTCAGTCTGTCTGTCTGTCTCTCTCTCTCTCTCTGTCTCTGTCAGTCTGTGTCTGTCTGTCTGTCTCTCTCTCTCTGTCTCTGTCAGTCAGTCTGTCTGTCTGTCTGTCTGTCTGTCTGTCTGTCTGTCATCTTTTTGAGATAGGGCCTCACTGTGCAGTTCAGGCTGGCCTTGAGCTCACTTTATAGCCCAGGCTGATCTTGAATTTGCAATGATCCTCCTGCCTCAGCTCCCTGAGTGCTGAGATTACAGGGAAATTCAACTATTCCTATTGGGATGGCTTCAAATAAGTGTGAGGAACAGTTTAAAAGCAGCAGAGGCAACCAGGACAGAGTAACAAAAAGAATGAATTATGTTTTTAAAACCCTTGTCACCTCCTAGAAGAGAACTACTGCACCACCTATGACCCACAGGATGAACTACCCCCGTATCGCTGGACTAGTTCACGAGAGTAATTCTTACCTGTAACAGACAACGATCTTGAAAAGTATATCCTATCAACTTGTCCAGGTGCATTAGGCATTGGTGGTAGCGTATATGATGGGTCAAAACAGGCAGCATCATTGCATGCTAGGACAAAATACTTCAGTTAAGTTTAATTCCCTAAAAACAAGCACCATCTATTTCACAATAAACAAGAATCATTTTCACACCATAAGTCGCATCTTACAAAGTCATAACAGTTTATAGATGTGTGGCACCCTGAAAAGTAGCCCACACGTGGCAGTGTGCAGTGCTTCTTAGGACGCAGTCTCTGGAACCACCACGCCTCGCTCCACATTGCACTCTGCCACGCCTCCACGGAATCACTTAGGGGAAGCTCTCACCTCTCTACCTAGGTTTCCCTACCACTAAAAATGGAAAATCAATGCAGCTAAGGCCAAGAACATTAAAAGGATTGTAAGTATGAACACCAAAGATTCAACACAATGCCATCTGCACTTCATTCATACAGGAGTAACCCTAGCGCCACCAGATTTGAACACAGCAGTATCAGGGAAGCCTTGTGCAGTACGGTGCCTCCTGATCTCTACAGAGTGGTGATGGCGAACCCTTTAGAGCTTCTAATGATGCCAGCCTGCTGCGGCCATAGCCATGTGCTCATCATCACTGCCAGAGGGCCATGGGATGAGGCTCACATATTCTTTTGTAGGATCAAGATATTTTTGAGAATCAAAGGAAAATGACTCCAGAAAAACACCCATATCTACATAAACATGCAAAACTTGTATGCAATTATCATGTGTTCACTGTGTTCACTTTCTCCTAAACCCCAGTGCTATCCATCCAAGCAAGAACTTCTCCAATGGATGGCATCCAAAAACCAGTCTAGAGTGAACATTCGATGCTCTAACATTCCAGAGTTAAGGCATTAATCCAGTTAAGGTATCTGAGGACAGGGAAATTATATTTCTATATTTTTTCTTCAATCACTTCATTTCGTTGTCTATTCCTTATTGGGAAATGATTTCATGAAAGGCTTATCTCTCTTTTCGCTAATAATGTTTACCTAGAACTCAAGAGAATGAAGGAATCATTTTTATTCATTAGAGCTGAAAGGATGGGCCTGGCCCACAGAATGATTGACATGTGCTTTGTATCATTTCATTCTTTGAAGTATTTTAAGCTAGCATTGTTTAAAAATAAATGAAAATGGATTTGCTTGAAACTATAGAAATCAGTTCTCTGTATTTTTTTTTTTATTTTTATTTTTTTTGGTGGAACCAGGGATTGAACTCAGGCCCTTGAGCTTGCCAGGGAAGCGCTCATTCCACTGAGCCATCTCCCCGACCCAGTTCTCTGTATTATTAAAGAAATATTGGTTCTATCAAACAGGATCTCTAGTCAACAGCAAGCCTTTTGTGCCAGTTCAGTTCAATAAATACACACTGAGCACCTCCACGTACAAGACAAGGTCTGTGGAAGATGAAAATGAAGACCACACTGCTTTTGCCATTAAAGCTTCTTAGAGCTACGCCATTATGTTATGAATGATGAGCACTTTGTCCACTTGGTTTTTCTAAGAGCTATATTTAAAACACAACAACATGAGCAAAGTAAAGAGCCAAAGCACAACGGTTTTCTTGCCACTTAGATTGCAGGAAGCTTGCGAGAGTTGATGCTAACAGCTCAAGGTGACAGGGTCAGGAGGACTCCACAGTGCAGCTGTTCTGGAAAGCGTGGACTTAACTCGGAAAATGGCTTATTTTTTTAGTACCTTCTGTGAAAGATGAATGCTAGGAAAATAAAGTGCTTTTTAGAATTTGTTCACAGTGGAAAACTTACTATACCCCTTAAGCCTTAATCTTTTGATCCTAGTTCTAGAAACCAAGGGCTTTTCATAGCCCCATCTTCCTATCTTCCCCTAGCCCGTTACTGTCTTTAACTTTTTCTCATAGGAAACAGCAAGCACCCCTTCTTTACTTGATCCACAGGGAGCCAGAGTCTCCCCCCGAGCAGGTCCGCTTGCTGTGGGCATGAAGGCAGGTCTGCCCCATCCACCCTCATCCCAAAGGTGCTGAGTTAGGAGGCTGCTCTGGTCTCTAGCTCAGCTGTAAAGGTTATCAATCCCTGCAGGACTGAAATCTGACCACTAAGCATCTTTACTATTTTTCCTACTAATTCCTGGCAAATGTTTTCATTTTTAAAAAAAAGTAAAGAACTCCTTTGGAAGATTTAAAAAAATGGAAGTCTGTAGTTTTAAAATCTTAGAGTTTCCCATAAAAATACAGTAATGGGCTGTGGATATAGCTCAGTGGTCTAAGCACCTGCCTGGCAAGTGCAAGGACCCAGGTTCAATCCCTGGTACCATATGCCATGCCTGTCTTAGAATCCTAAGCATGCCGCACCGGCCACCAAGATTGGACGTGGTGGCACAGGCCTGCAATCCCAGCGCTGGGGAGGCAGAGACAGGAGTATCAGTATAAGAGTCTGAAGTGTGTAGCGAGACCCTGTAACAAATAAAATAAAATAAATTAATTAATTTTTCAAAAATACAGTAACTAGATTCGCAAAACCAAAGACTTTTGAACAATATCTACATAAAGACTATAAGAGAAAGAATCCTATACACCACTAAATAAGAATAGGTGAGGACAAAGCTATAGTCTCAGCATTTACTGGATCAAAACAAAACAGAACAAAAGAGTGACAGGGTTTCTAATGACCCCGAGAATGAAAGAACCCCAAAATTAACAGCATGCATTCACTGGAAAATTCAAACAAAAATTAGAGAGGGCTGCAAAAACTCTAATTTTCTAGGTCCATCCAAGAGGACAGCCACATTGCAGAAGACACCTGAGCTCTATAACATGCTCAAAACTGAGCCAGACATGGTAGCACACACCTGCAAGCCCAGCACTCAGGAGGCTAAGATACAAAGATCACCAAGTTTGAGGCCAGTCTGGGCTACAGAATGAATTCAAAGCCAGCCTGAAACACACACCAAGACTCTGTCTCAAACAAACAAAACACAAACAAACACAAACCCCTGAGGATGTAGTTAGTGTGAAGGCCCTGGTTGATTTCCTTCTATAGAGGGTAGGGGTGGGATCTAAACTAAAAGCTGAAGCTCCTGGATGAGGACAAAGTGGTGGGCATATAAGCACTCAGCAGGAGAGTAACCATAAGGACAAAAGCCAGAGATAGTCTAAATAAAGATGGGGAAGGACACAGGGGGCAGGCTCAGCCTGAGGCTGGACTCCAAGCTCTGCAGGAACAGCGGAGCTGCAGGACCATGAGAAGCTCTTGGCTCCCTCCTAAGTGCACAGGGAAACAGTTCATTACTTATTTTACTTAACCTAGATAAAGAGTATAAGAATAAGGGTCAAGTCCATCTGAAGATTTTGACAGAAAAGGCGAGATCCTTGTTGGTAACAAAAGCACGCCAGAAGGACAGCACAGCAAGACAGCTAGGACCTGGCACTTCAAGACAAGTTTTAAAAAATTAAGAAAAAATACTAAAAATATAAATAAAAACTATTCATTGAGGTAGTCAGAAGGAACTGTGAAGTGACAAAACTCCAAGAATATAGGATAAACAAGAGAGAACACAAAAGCAGCTTAACCACATAGAGTGCTTTTGAGAAATAAAAGACAGAAAAAGAAAAATTTTAAGAAAATAAAAACTGCAAAAGAGATGAAATCAGGACAAAATTAGACACAGAGGACAAGGAAAGATGATATAAGGTGCAGGTGAACCCTTAAAACCAAAATATAACAATAAAATATGTATTTCTTGAATTACAGAGCATGCATACACATCACATTTGAAAACATAAAGTAAAAAGGGCTGAAACATATTTTAGTAAACCTACTGGTGTTTAAAGAAAAGGAATATCCCTTGGGCCACTTAAACAAAAGAACCAAAACACTTACACAACCCATACTGCTATCACACTTTGACAGCAATGGATTTTGTACCCAGCCAAAATGATCTATAAATGTTAATGGCCACAAAATGTTGGGAATATTAAGAAACTCAAAGCCATTGTTTCCACAAGTACTCCTTAAGGTATGCGTGTGACATGCCAGGTTTGATGGTGCACACCTGCGACCCCAGCACCCAAGAGGCTGAGGTGGGAGGACTACTGAGTTCAAGGCCAGCCTGGGCTACAAAGTGAGTTCAAGGTCTGACTATGCAAGACAGGAAGACCTTGCTTCAGGAAAAAAAAGAAAAAATGGGTTGGAAAGAAACAGAATAAAACAAAAACAGGAGGGGTAGGCACTGACACATGATCTTTAAATATATTTTGACCCAAAGATAATAATGAGTTAATATTGTAAGAATAATCTTTTAAAAAATATAATAATCTGAGACCTGGGATGTAGCTCAGTGGTGTACATGCCTGCCCAGGAAGCACAAGCTCCAGAGTTCAATAACTGGTACCAAAAAAAAAAAAAAAGTTTGGAAAGAATAATCTAACACAGAGTAGTGCAACTGATAAAAAATAAAGGGAAGAAGAAGATCAAAGAGGAGGATGACGGGTAAGAGGGAAGATTACAGGAAGAAGCAGACATTGCTATTTTCAATAACAGATAACAAGATACACACACAGAGGCAAAAGAGAAATTTCATTACACTACTGAAGAAAGGTGTTACTGTACAAAGGTAGCATTTAAAGAAAAATACAGGCCTTTCTAAATACAAACATACATGAAGAAAAAGTGGGAGAAAAGCAAATATAATGGTCTTCACAGTGCATATACAACACAAAACGGTTTGACAGAGACACATATCAATAATATCTCTGTATTAATAGGAAGTAATCACTTGGACAGACTTTTGTGAGGTGACTGAACCAGAACCCTACACACGCTACACAAGTGCTCCTACCACATTCCCAACTTTGGGCATATTGTTAAATGAAGAAAACTGCTGGTGGTCTAAGTACAGGGACAACCTGCACACACAAAAATGCACGAGCACACACAGTGACAGTACCAGGTCTCAGCAACAAGCAAGGCCCGCTAACCAGGCTCCGCCCCAACCAGGCTCCACCCCTAACCAGGCCCCACCCCCAACCAGGCCCCGCCCCTAACCAGGCCCCGTCTCCCAAGAGCAGGGGAGA